CCACCAGCCTTGATGAGCGAGACCTCTTCGACAGACACCAATCCTTCTTGTATCAGGTGTTTGTCCGGACCCTCCTCACCGATCAAGGCAAGAAGATTGTTAGACAATACGATAAGACTTACGATGCCCAGTCCATCTACCGGGATCTATGCAAGTTTTATACTCTGTCTATCAAGGCCACTTTCGACCGCCAACACCAAATTGCAATGGTTGACCACTGCTCAACTCACTGCAGACCAATGGCCCGGTAGTCATGTGTCCTTCATTCTTCATTGGCTCGATACTCTTCGCCAGTACCACGAGGTAGCAAAACACCCCACCCCCGAGGAGCAACTCATCGTCATGTTGTCCAATCCTGTCAGACTCGTGCCATACCTTCGCAACGTGTTTGACACTGGCCTTGCAGAACAACAACAGACCACTTACTTTTGACCAGTATGCGTCACTCCTTGAGGCAGCAGCCCAAAACCATGATGAGGTCACCAAAGGATCCAAGCCCAAGGCCGATCCTAGGAAGGCATATGCTACTGATGTTGTCACCACTGGTGATCTTGAACCGGATCCTGGCCCTCCCATGTTTGATATATATATAACTGATGCATTAATTGTATTAAAACTATCTCAAGTTTCTAGATTGCCGGTAACGGCTGTCATGGCCATTTACCATACAGAGGTGAGTCCAGTACTGTTGAACCAGTTTGAAGCATCCAATCCCAGGGAAGTTGCTCTATCGCAGATTACATTGCACCCTTGCACATGTAGAGACGATCTTGCCACTCGAGGCGGCATATTTATATTTTGGTTTTTGTGGTTTTTGAAGGTGGTGGTGGGCAGGATTGTTTAGCAGGTGAGAAGCCACTTGTTCTTGCGCCCTAATGCCGTGGGTGTATCGATCCAAGTGAATGGAGAGCGTCCCAATGGCACAGTGTTCCAGAACAATGTGGCGACCATCTACGTGACACACTGCAGGTCCCTAGTCCTGTGATCGACAGAGGGAGAGTGAAACATAGAGGGGGCAGATAGATGGCCGAGACATCTGTCTGTTTATGGACTTGCGCCGGGTGGCCGAGTCGATGTTGAGTTGGCGGGTCACGCCAGGTCAAAGATCATCTGGCGTTGCCTTGCTAGAGAGCGACGGTTGATCGCTCTCTCATGGGAGACAAGGCGCAGCCAATGTTGATGATCTTCAAGTGATTTGTTGAGGACAGTTTCGCGGGAGTCCCGAAAGAGGTAATGCGAGCGTGGGGGGATATCCATCAGGCCCATGGCGAACTGTTCGCGGATGCCGATGTCAATCTCCCGCTTGCGAGCCGTGTACCAGGAGCTGTCTTCAGAGTGGGCAAGCCGGTTGCGGTCTTTCCACATGTAGTGCCCGATCCGGATCAGTTGTTGGATCAGGCGGCAGGCCCAAAGGTTGGCAGACTTCTTGGAGCCAATGTAGGAGAAGTGAAGGGCCTGCAGGTGTCGCCAGTTGGGGGACACGAGGCCTTCAAGGAGGCCCTGGGCCCCAAGCGTGGCTTGGGAAGAGATGGCACTTTGGAAGAGGTGGGGATGGCGGGACCAGGCTCGGACGGTGGGGACGCCCAAGGAAGGCTGACGGACTGTCTTCAGGTATACGAAGAGGAAGGCTTCGATCTCTGGGGCAGTCTGCTGAGTCTGCATCCAGGTCCGGAAGGCCAGATGGCGTTTGGACCATTCTGCAGCTGCAGTAGGAGCAGAACAGCGAGGGACATGAAGGTGATCTTCCACGGGGCAGAAGGAGCATCTGGGGCAGGAGCTCTTCGCTGAACGGTTCCAAATGGCCAAGAATTTTCCCACACCTGTCATACCGGAGATATGTTTAGGTGTCCAGCGTTGGAGATTTGCTGGGAGGGCCTTCATGGCGCGTGCAGGAGACATCCAATCGACCTCACAGATGGACTGCTTGGAGAGGCGGTCCTTGGAGGACCAATACGTACCAAAGGCAGGAAGAGAGACCAGCTCCATGATGTGAGCCTGATCCAGTTTGGAAGACTTAACACCATCAATGAATAAAGACACAGGTTCATGGAAGAAGCGGGGATTGGAGGCGGCAGAACGGCCTGTAGACTCTAGCAGGCGGCGGTAGGACTGTGCTTTGGAGTCCACTTCCACATTGCGCTGCTCCCACCAGTCCAGTTGGGAGAAAGGCCGGTGCATATTCCGAAAAAACAAAAATACAAAAACAACATGCATATCCAGGTCCTCAAAACATCACTTTCGGTACTTCGCCTACACGATTTTTCTGTAGCGAAACGAAACTCGCTCCTCCTTTTTGCATCAAAACTGACAATGGGAAAGTCGAAGGCCAACAAGAAAGTGGCAATCGCTGCTAAACCTGTTAATTCTTCTGCTCTTACTCAGGGTCGCATCAGTTTTTCGCAAAAAAGCCGAGCCGAAACCGCCGAAATTCGATCGAAAAAGGAATCCGACGATTTGGACCCTCCAATCGTCAACCACAACAGCGACACCGAGATGGAGGAGGTGGAGAATCCACTGAAGTACGATCGCATTGTCCAGAACATCGATTCGTCTCAGTGGAACCTGCAAACCCTTGCCTATCTATGCACAATCTACCGTGCTCGTGGTCAATGCAACAATAAAAAAGAAGTGGTCTTTGGAAACGAGCTGTTCTCGGCATGGGAGAACAAGCCCAATTTCCACTGGCCTTGGTGTGAAGGGTATTCTGAAAATTTCGTAGACCCTCCGGCGACTGAATCCTGGGAGGAAGCAGCCGACAAGCTACTACAGATTTGTGATGGGGACTGGAACTTGGTCGAGCAACGCATTTGAGCTGCGCTTGACCGAGACATCAAGGACGAATTTACTGGAAACGATCGTGAGCTAGTGGTATAATTACGAGGACTAATTCTCGGTCTGGCGGTCCAGGATCCTTTGGTGATTTTTCCTTTGGACGAACAGTTGGAGGACTCTACGTTTTTTAATCGGTATTGGGATTTTACCTCGGAGGTTGAGCCCCGTCTACTATTGGAATTACGCCCTCTGGCCAAAGTATGGGCCATTGCGGTTGAACTTCTAGGGCACCCGTGGACCGACCCCGAAACGACGACGGTGGTAACGGAATTATCTGAGCGTCGCTCAGCCGCCAAGGGCAGAAAACGTGAGCGCGATCGGGACCCATCAACTGCAAGGAAACCGGCTCCGATCGACCCTCGCTCTCCTGCACGCGGGTTTTTCCGGAGGCCACCCCAAAACCAGTTCGCGACTCTATTGCCCCTGATAAGGAGGATGCAGTGATGAAGGACACAACAGGTCCATCGGTAATCAGCCCCACCAATAAACCAGTCAACGGCGAGTTTGCTTATTGGTCTGACAATGAAGGGTCGGAGTCCGTTGAGTCGGCTCCCGACTTTTCGGCACCATCGAATTCGGACCAACCTCCTACTGAAGTGGTTGTGGGGAAGTCACCTGCCCCAGCTCAGCGGCCCAATGACCCCTCGGCAACAGTATTGATCGACTCTCACTTGTCGAAGACTGAGCCTCCCAACCCTCCTCGACCTGCAGCTCCTCTGTCCGTGAAGAAGCAACTCACTTATGTTGCCGCCTCACAGAAGAAGGCTGCTATTCGGACCAAGTACCTCTCTGAAGAAATGAAAGCCCGTGAAGTGACACAGATGAATTTGACTGG